TAAAACTTTTTTGCTGATGCTTTTGGCTCGCTTCTTCAGTTCAGCATTTTCTTTTTCACAGATCTGAAAGTCATGCTGCAACGTCTCCAGCGTTTCCTCATACTCCCTGCAAATTAATCTGATTTTCGAAAAAAAAAAATTAAAAAAAAACAAAATTCTGTTTTTCTCTTCATATTTTCAGATTACGGCTGCCTGGTTTTTTTTTTTACATTTCTTAGTTCCGAGATTTTTTTAAAGCTGCCGGGGAAATGCAGCTGATTCAAGTATTTTAAGTTTTTATAGTAGATTCAGAAAATTTCATATAACATCTATCCATTAGTATGTTAGCATTATCGACTATTTTTTTTAATGTTAGTTTCAACAGTATTAATACGTTCATATGAACACACATTTGCCACTGGTGCATTTGCACAGCCAGCTTCCCCGTCTTCAAATTCCCCACACTTCTTTTATGCCCCTTGCACTCGCATAATTATCTACTGACTAACAAACAATATGAATTAGAATTCCTTCTCCAAATTCCTTGGCTAACGGTCTTCACTCCTTCCTCTTCTCCAAGTATTCCTTTCACGAGCTAATCGTCCAACAATTTACAACTTTCTTCTAGTACTTGTATGTGGAAGCCCGCAGAAGAGGGCCTTCTTTTAATATACGTAAGGAATTTCTTGATTTCCAAAAGACATATAATTTTTTGACCAATTCAATATTGCTACCAATTTGCTTGTAACCAATCATTGGGAGAGGAAGCCACCGACGGCCTTGTTACTGAGTGACTACTGCTATCATTTGGGCTACTTCCGAGTGCCAAACACAGTGATGGCGGAGGTGCTTTTGGCATTTTAAAATTTTGCACTGTAATATTTCTGCCAGTGTTACAGTGCTAATACCCTAGCACAAACGGTGTGCACACAAGAAACAATGCCACGTAAAAAACCTTCTTTTTTTTAAACCGATGCAGACTGGAAACAAACTCGAATAACTCGTCTTCACATCCAGAAAGTGGCGCATCAAACGTCTGCACCACCGGTGTGCACACCAGAAACACACTGGGTATACTTCTAAGTGTGTCTATTGCAACACACACCTTTCCTACTTGTCTGCCTCCCATAGGTAGTCCTATAGTTCCTTATGGCGGCTTCCTCACTGCTTGCTTTTTTTCGCGGGGTTTTCGCAACAGCTGTTGTTTTGCTGTAGCACACATCTGTGCCACCTATGCGGTTGGCAATCCTTCCTTATTACTCACCGCCACTTTCTGGTACGTCTGCTGCTGGTTCGAATTCGCTTCTCTGCTTTCCTTCACCGTTCTTCGGGAGAAGAGTCTTGGACGCGTCTTCATTCTGTCGGTTTTCACAGTTATTATTTAAGCAAAAATTGACTAACGAGAGGGGGCTTACAGCTTCATTTTCTTCAATTGCTTTTGCATTTCATCCTTCTCATTCTGCAGCTTCTGCATTTCGTTCTCATCCACTTTGCCCATCGATTCTATTTTTTTGTCCGCTAATTCCAGGCGCAACTGAAAAGAACGACAATCATCCGATAATCTACTTAAAACCACGTCCCCTCAAAAAAGCATTTATACTCATTCTGTTGAAATTCCATAACAGTGGCCTTTGAAATTAGTTACTTTTTCATGCACTATGCCTGCCGCACTGAATTCCACCAACAGGAGAGCTCGATTCACGACTTCCTAGGTGGGATTTGACTCGAACTTACTAAGCATTAAGAAACGAGCGGTAAATTACCAACGGTTCGATTATTCAATGCTAGTTAAACATTTACAGAAAGTGAACAGAAAGTATGGAGGATGAGAGCGCGAAACAGGGATAAAGCATCTCATTTACAAACCACATACAACAAACTGTCTTTAACACTGAAAAATAACAAAAAACTAAATTTAAAAAAATATGACAAAAAATAACAAAAAACTAAATTTAAAACCATAAAAAACTGAATATCGAAACGCAAAATAGAATTGGAGAGACAAAAAAAGTCGAGCTGAAAGAATCTTGTTCCGTTAAAGGCAGAAACTGTGCTCGGAAGTATTAAACGCAGCACCAAAATGCCCGAAAAAATCAATTTGGCCCTTTTTGTTG